ATAAACACATTTCATTACACCAAATACACAAAATAATGTTCTTTTTAGCAGCATCATATGACCCCTTTAACATCTAAATAAAAACTGTAATATTTGCTATTGTGCCTGCTTGAATTGCATCCATGCTTTCTTCTGTGCAATTTCTAAGCAATTTCTTTACAAATATTTTATATGACTTCATATGTACAATAGGTGGGAAATGTTTTTCTCCAGCAAAAATGTGCTTCATCCACGTGGTGCAATGTGAGTTTAAGATTAAATGACTGCCTTGATGTAGTGTGGATAAGAAACTTTTTATTGGCTTATTAGTCATTTTTTTCATTTTTAACCATATTAATGTCATCATGTATGCATCATGTGCTTGCGAAGTGAAGAAAATTGGCTTGTCACTAAAACTCTTTCTATTGTCAAATCATTCATATTAGGAACTGGCAGAGTATGAGAAAGTTTCTGACCAGGTCAAGATTACACAACGAGGTAGGCCTGATTGTCACATCTCTCCCATACCAAGTACAATGATTTGCTTGGAATAATTAATCCTGTGGATTGCTTTAGTAAGAATTTAAAGCTTTTTTAAAAGAATTTAAAGCCAATCATGCTTCTCTACTGTAGATCTGGAGCAGGATGGATTCTCTAAAAACCCTTTTTTCCATGGAATTATTGCTGAAGTGCCAGAGCACCATAAGTCTAGAGAGGGTGAGAAAAAAGAACCTTGATTTAGCATTTATCTTGGATCAACAATCCTATTACAACATGAAATAAAATCTGCTGTTCTTCTGCGTTGTCCTGCAGTAGGATACACATTTGTTATCTAATCTGGCCATGTGTGTCATGTCTAGCCTGAGTGCATAGTTGTTACATAATCTTGTTTGCCCTTTTTTCCTCTTTGAATGTATACATATATGCTGTGGCAATGTTGCTTTAAAATGGTGTAGAAAATGTATATGTAACTGTGAGGAAGTACATTCAAAGAGGAAAAAAGTGCAAACAAGATTATGTAACAACTATGCACTCAGGCTAGACATGACACACATGCCCAGATTAGATAACAAATTTGTATCCTACTGCAGGACAACGAATGCCACAACAATCAATAAATATAAATATATATATATATATATATATATATATATTGTGGCATTTATCCATGCATGACTAGTTTACCCAAAAAAGGAAAATTCGACAATTTACTCACCATGCAGGCCATCTAAGATGTAAATGAGTTTGTTTCTTCATCAGAACAGATTTGGAGAAATTTTACATTACATCACTTGCTCACCAATGGATCCTCTCCAGTGAATAAATGGGTGCCGTCAGAATGAGAGTCCAAACAGCTGATAAAAACATCACAATAATCCACAAGGCTCCAATCCATCAATTAAAGTATTACAATGTGAAAAGCTGCATGTTTGTAAGAAACAAATTTTTCAATAATTTGTATCTTGAAAGTGTTGCTTCCGACCAAATACAAGTCCATAATGTTTCCTCCAGTGAAAAAGTCCATCCCCTGTCCTCTCACAGTAAAATCCACCGACATATTTAGAACTGTTTTGGGCTGGTTTTGCTTGTAAACAGTGCTTGATCTGTGCATATTTCTCTCCTGATTAAGATTCAGAGATGACTTTTTCACAGGAGAAAGCAAGATTATGGATAGAGGACATTCATTTCAAATTGATGGACTGGAGTCGTGTGGATTACTTGTGTATTGTTGTGACGTTTTTATCAGCTCAGTCTTACGGCACCCATTCACTGCAGAGGATCCATTGAGCAAGGGATGCAATGCTACATTTCTCCAAATCTGTTCCGATGAAGAAAAACTCATCTCAATCTGCCTGAGTGTAAAATTAAATTTTTTAGTGAACTATTCTCTTAAGTGCCTGGCTAAATGTGCTAACTGTGGTAACTTTATGTTTTACAACTTGATATTGTTTGCCTGGTATGTTTGAGTTTTGTATTTACCTTGGTGTTAACATTAGTGTTATTTTTTTTTATTTTAGCCATCAAGCTGACAGAGATGATTCATGTATGTATATCTCTTTACAGGTCACACCAAGGTTGGTTACTCCCTGTACTTCTACACATACAGTTCATGGAAAGGTCGGGCGGTGTACATGGAGGATCTGTATGTGATGCCAGAGTTCAGAGGTAAGGAAACCACACTGTGTGCTTTTGTTTATTTGAATTGAAAATAAATTGTAAGCCCTTTGACTGATTAATGATTTTCTGTGAGTATTTCCAGGGAAAGACATGGGCAAGGCTCTGATGTCCAAAGTTTCCCAGGTGAGGGGTGTTTATTTATACTAGGTAATAGCAACATATGGCACACGATCATAATGCATTAGCAAGGAATCTGTTAACAAATTGAGAATTAGATTATTGTTGATTGTGTACGATTTGACATGTTTGTGATTATGATCACCCTCAGCTTGGTCTGGCTGCTGGCTGCACCCAGCTGAATTTCACTGTGCTGGACTGGAACAAATCATCTCTTGACTTCTACCTAAAGCAGGGCTGCTGGGATGTGACCTCTGACCTCGGCTATCACTGCATGCACTGTGAGGGCGATGCCCTTGAACACTTGGCCCAGGGGGACCTTTAAATTTTGAAGCACATAGATTCCCCCGTCAACCCCTGACCAGAGCCACAAGTAACAAGCTGTTTGATAAACACAGGAAGACAGTAAACTACCAGTTAAAATGGGGAAAATGGAATAAGTAACCATGCTCATATCCTGCATACATTTTCTGCAACTTTATGAGGTGATATAGACGAGCATTATTACAGAGAACACCATACAGAAGATGCTGCTTATTTATGTTGCCTCAAAAAGTGCATTACACATTGATTCATTCTACACATTTAAATTGGGAAGTCTGGCCTAACCAAAGATTCAGAAGTGCACTGTTGTGTTATTAGGAATCACATCTATATTGGGCATATTATTACATAATCATTTTTCTACTAGTGGAAAGAGTGGAAGTGAAATTGTTACAGATGGTGCTGTTACAATCGTATGTATTTAGAATTTAGAACTTGTTCTTAGATGTTCTATTTAAATAGTCATTTGAGTATTTAGCCATATATAACGTGTCATTTTATTTGTACATTTGAATATTTATTTGTACGTTTGAACATCTAGTCGGTCTCGCTCACAAAACCACTTGATCTAAAATTATACACAAGTAGTGTTCTTAAACTATGTTGTAATATATATGAAGCACTGATCGGTCCACAAGATTCACAGCCACCTAGAACATGAAGATGTGTCTGTTTATGCTGCAGATGCAAAGATATGAGCCACATACTTTTCTTGACTAACTATTGGTAACTGTTACCAGTCATAACCGAGAATAATCTCACTAAAAGTAGAATAATGCACTACAATTAGCTAAATCCTATTTGTTATTGGTTAGTGAAACCATGCTTGGATTTTGCTTTTCTGAAGTTTACTTTTTTTTTTTTTTTTTTAACTTTACCTTGTAGATTATTTGTGTGCAATTTTTAGTAACCAGATATTTGATGTTTATTGCCAAAAGGTATTTGGCAAGAAAATCTTGTGCTGTTACTGAATACATCATAAGTGTGAACAACATACAACCCGTAAGTACCTCAGTCTCTAAATTTAGTTAGTAATTAGTAACATTTTATGACCTGTTGGGATGGAACTGTTATTGTGTAGCACTTTAGAGAACATCTGTGTAGCCTCATCGTAAAGATGGCAAAAAAAAAAAAAAAAAAAGTTACATTGTTACAAGCTGCTGTATCCAATGTACTGTGGAGTCTGTTGTTCTATCGGCCATTGATAAAAGTACATTTGTCCATGGTTTTGCTACATGTGTTTTTACTTGACAAAGCTTTTTAAACATTGTGATCTAGATTAGTGTTTAACAAAACTATGCACAAGTAATCATAAAATAAACACCGTAAATGCCATCAAAGCTCACTTCTGAATCAATGACCATAAGATTAATCGTAACTGGAAGCAGGATTCACATTTGGCCTGCACATCACCACATTTCCAAGCTGCTGATACGCCAACTACATGTTGCACTTGCCACACTTTAGGCAACAGCGACATCAAGTGGTCACCCGGAGAAGCCATTAACGATATACCACATTTAGGACTTTTTCCAGCGCGCACTTCACTGAGGAATTCAAGTAGTATTTCAATGTTAAAAACAACCTAGACAACAGTTGTGACGTGCATATGTGGTTTAATTTAATCCTTTAAATGCTCAACCGATTGACAGGCCAACGTTTCGTAAAAAACCAAGTAAGTCAAAACGCTGTGAATCAGACCCAGGCTCATTTTCCGACTCATAATAATCAAACTCACTGCCAGGAAACCATCCAGTTGTTTGGGATTTTTGGAAGGGAAAAGGGAGAGCAAAATTAGACATCTTCACAATATTGACATTTATGTTAGGAAATGATTAAGCAATGATTAGACTGTGCTGTTTGTCATTTTACAAACCATAGAGGAGATTAAAAAAAAAGACACCAGGAAAAGCCTATACAAAATATTACATTAGGATTCAAAGATATCAAGCGTAGCGTTAGTTCTGGCAGGTCACGTTAGTCAAGCTCGCATCAGCTGATCCCCATCTACCTATAGGACTACGACACCTAAGCATTCATATATAAGGTCCCTCAGTATTATCAGCAGTTTTCGCATTGCTCAATAGCTAATTACCCTCCTCCATCCCCAGCTCCTCCTCTGTCAGTCGGGATTCAGCCTTCTGATTCTCCTTGAATCAGACTAATTCTAAAATGTGTACATAAAATGATTGAACTTTAACAATATCTGCAATACATTTATGTTGGTTCTGTTCTGTTTACCCTGGGGGGGTTATTGCTGCTCTCCCTGCTCTCATCCATGCTAGGCTGCGTGGATGCGCAGGGAGTTCTTGCCCAGAACAGAGCCATACCGCCAATCCAAACTGTATGCTAATTGTCAATCATCTTTGACGATAGTGGTCCTGACAGAAAAAAGCAAACAATTTACATGTCATTTGAAGGTAGTACAGGTTCATATTTGAATAACCCCTGCAACAGAGCACGCACAAAGTGTATTTATATGCCTACTATATGGTTTTATGAGCTGATTCATGTTACAAAAAGAATATAAATGTGTATTGCTGGAGTTTTTTTGTTATGAAATAGTGCATGTGGTTGATTGCATAAATGCTTAGACTAGTGTTAGAAGTTAGTCATCTAATTTTTACAAGACTGGTCATAAGTCTTAATAACTGGTCATTAAGTCGGTTACATAAAAATGTAGATTGGTCTAATTTGAATCGGAAAAGAGACTAATTGCCCCTTGAAGAATTTATGCAGCTATTTTCTTTCTTATAATACATTTTCTCTTACACTCTAAAAAATGCTGGGTTAAATACAACCCAGTGCTGGGTAAAATAGGGACAAACCTTTTTTACTTTAATGTCGGTGCGGTGATAATTTAATCGGCACTCTTTACTCCATTAATCCATGGTCAAACTTTGTAAAACCTTAGAGAACAACCAGTTCAACCAGGCTTCTAGAAAAAGACACGCGGACAAGCGCACTTGTTGATTTGAGGCAGGACAGAGCTAAATAGGATTTCGCTACAGAATAAGAATACTTGGCACCGCACGAGGGGGGAAGGAAATCTGTTTTCCACTGCTGTGCAGGACTCACTTCCCTGCAGTGCATACTTAAGCACATGGACGCAGAAGTGCTTTGAAATGACACCTCGTATGGACTAGACCATGATCTATTTGTCAAAGAGAACACGAGGAAGTCATGCCAAAGAATCAGGTCTCTGGAAGATGCGAATAAAATCCAAATCCCACAGTGTTGCTGTGCTACTGTCAACTCTCTGCACAGGAATAAGAGGAATATTGCTGTTCCATTTGGGCCAGTTTATGCAATAAACGCTACTTGAGCACATGGACGCAGAAGTGCTTTGAAATGACACCTCTTATGGACTTAGACCATGATTTATTTGTCTAAGAGAACACGAGGAACTCATGCCAAAGAATCAGGTCTCCGTAAGATGCGAGTAAAATCCAAACCACACAGTGTTGCTGCGCTACTGTCAACTCTCTGCACAGGAATGAGAGGAATATTGCTGTTCCATTCGGGCCAGTTTATGCAATAAACGCAGACAGCTCTGCATATAGCAAAGCATTGACAGCGGCGACTGATTTGCTGGGTCAATCTCGCAACGATTGCAACCAGGTTTGCGTTGACCGCGCTGCAACAGCTGCATTTGCGCTCTGACTGGGAGAAGCTCTCGCGCATGGGACCTACCAGAGAGGCTCAGAGATGTTCTCGTGGAATATGGACAGAATGATTGATGTGGAAGCTCCAGAACGGTAAACGACCCGTGTGCGCAACAATGCAGCGAATTCTTCAGAGGAGACCAAGGATCCGCACACTGCGCTTGGTTTGGTCGCTCATGGCCGTGCTCGCGCTGTCCCTGGCCGTGTGCAGTGCCATATTTACAGCGTGGACAATGCGACAAACGCGGGACCTGTCGAGGTCTTTCCAAACTCTGCAGGAGCGCTTAGAGCAGGTAAACGCGATGTCTTTTAAGTGCACGTCAGATGCATGCATGCATTCCCAAGCACATTTGTCAAAAAATTTCTCACTAATCACGCAGTGACTTTGCAATTATGCCTTTTCTTTCTTGTAATCACGAGGTAGGTTATTGGTCCTGAGCTTGAAAGCCCTTTGCAAGTCCTTTTTGGGGAGGTATAGGCTATCAAGAAGAATGTAATAGTATAATTTCGAGGCACTTGATTATACAAACATACAGCTGCGGCACCGCTGGGGGTCTGCGGGACGCGTTTTATGACCCTTCCAGACTTTGCGCGCGGGGTGCTGTGAATTATGGCCTATTTAGTTTCTAAAGTCGCTGCCAAGTGTGATGGTTCTGTTGCCAATTTTGCTCCATGTTTAGGGCAATTTACTGGAAATCTTAGACTGCTTGGCACGAGGGCGTTTCGAAGCCAATTGACATTGCCTTTTAAGCATCGCGTCTCGTAAAAGCGTTTGTGTAATTATGGTTAAATCATTTGCAACTCGTAAGCTACCATTTAGAGCTTGCCCTCATATACAGATGGGCAACTTTGTCATGAGTAGCCTATGTTGTTGTCGTTATGAGCATGGTTTTATTTACTGGAACAGGATTTTATATATATGTATATGCCTATAGGCGTCCGTTGCTATGGCGCAAAGAGCGCTCCGTTCATAATAACCAAAAAGCTGTCATTCATCTCAGTTCATCGCGAAATCACAAAGATACGTTATTATCAGTAAAGTTATGTACGCTCCACAACGCATCATCACTTTGTTATAATGAGATGATTCGTGCTGAACACGGAGTCAAAAGTAACAATTTTTTATATTATATTAATTTAAACAATTATTATCAAACAATTATATTCATTTAGTAACAAATATATCTTAGTATAGTCTATATCTTTAGAGTTTTATAATTCATTATCTTCTTGTCGATCCACCAGTTCACATTTACAACTGCGTGTTTTCTGCATAAAAATAAGGGTCGTTTTTGGCTTTGGTCTAAACAGCAGAAGGGCTTATTGAAAAATGCAAATTCATTCTCTGCCAGCAGGTGGCGCTTTTCGCCAGGAATATAGCTGTTTCCCCGGTAACCGCAGTAAACAAAGCAGTGCAGCACCTGACTTTGAAACTTGCAGCGCTCATATTTAATCAATTAAATAGCCTTTTGAAGTGTGAGCTATATCTTAATTTACATGTATATTTAGTTTTTTTCACTGGAGCACCACCTGATCTCCCATTGTTTCCTAGCCCTGGTACTACCTGCGCACATATCAATAGCATCACTGGGCTGTCGGTTGCCAAGTTGAGGGGACAAATGGGTTGAAATTGGTATGCATCGATCATGTGAGAAAGATGCGTTTCATAGAAGATCTGGCAACTGGACAACCTTGGAATTTGTTGTCGTGATTATTCATATAATGAGGTTTGGCCCTTACAAATTACAGTAGTTTTACCGGAAGCGAATGTAGCAAACATAAAATACGCCAAGTGGAATTTTTTAAAATAGAAAGATTAAAAATACGGGAAAATATTTAAACGGGATGATAGAGGGATAGAATGGTAAAATACAGAAGAATCCCGGGAAAAACGGGAGGGTTGACAGGTATGGTAAAAAAGACTATTTAAAAAAAAAAATTATAAGATGACTATAAAAGGTCATATATTCAATAAAAATTAATATTTCTGAAGTTTTTATACTTTTCAATTGTTTTAACAATAATTTTATGTAAAAAAAAAATAAGTTTTTTTTTTTTTTTTTACAGTTTTTTGTGAAGTAACAATTTAAAGCTTTCTATAGATATATTTATCATGTCTGTGAGGCATGTATTTGCTGAGTTCATTTTTGTAAGCGCTCCTGTTCAAGACGAGACGGCAGAAAGCGCATCGTGTTTGTTTTCTTTATTTTATAAAAGCACAACGTTTTGTTGATATTGTGAGTGCACACAAAAAAAAGTAGACACATTGCAGTTCCGAATCATGTATTACTCTTTATGAGTAAAAATTATGAG